GATTGAACATCAGAAACCCTCAGGTTTGATGCAACCGTTGTTTATTCCTGAATGGAAATGGGATAGCATTTATATGGATTTTGTGTCCGGTTTACCGAGGACGCAGAGTAATTTTGAAGTGATATGGGTTATTGTGGATAGATTGACCAAATCTGCTCATTTTATTCCTATGCGCATGGACTATCCATTGGAGAAATTGGCGAAGTTGTACATTGAGAGGATTGTCAGTTTTCATGGTATTCCGTTTAGCATTGTGTCAGATCGAGATCCAAGGTTCACTTCGAGATTTTGGGAGAGTGTGCAGAGTGCTTTGGGTACGAAGTTGCATTTGAGTTCAGCTTATTATCCTCAGACAGATGGTCAGACGAAAAGAACGATTCAATCACTCGAAGATCTGTTGAGAGCTTGTGTATTGGAGAAGGGAGGAGCTTGGGATAGCTACTTGCCTTTGATTGAGTTTACTTACAACAATAGTTTTCATTCGAGCATCGGTATGACACCCTTTGAGGCCTTGTATGGTAGACGTTGCAGGACGCCATTATGTTGGTATAAGTCGGGAGAGAGTTCTGTAGTTGGACCCGAGTTAGTTCAAGATACTACCGACAAGACTAAGATGATCCAAGAGAAGATGAGGATTTCCCAGAGTCGTCAGAAGAGTTATCATGACAAGAGGAGGAAAGCAATCGAATTTCAAGAGGGAGATCATGTGTTTCTTCGAGTCACTCCTATGACTGGTGTTGGTAGGGAATTGAAGTCGCGTAAGTTGACGCCGTGTTTCATTGGTCCTTTTCAGATTTTGCAGAGGGTAGGAGAGGTAGCCTATCGTGTTGCTTTGCCGCCATCTCTTGTTAATCTTCATGATGTGTTCCATGTATCTCAATTAAGGAAATACATTCTGGATCCGTCTCATGTAGTCCAAGTAGATGATGTACAGGTGAGGGATAACCTGACTGTGGAGACATCACCTATGCGGATAGAGGATCGGAAGTCGAAGCAACTTCGAGGCAAAGAGATTGCTTTGGTAAAGGTCGCTTGGGGAGGACTGGCTGGTGGGAATGTAACGTGGGAGCTGGAGAGCCAGATGAGGAAATCTTATCCAGAGTTGTTCGAATCAGGTAACATTTTCCAGGATGAAAATTCCTAAAGTGGGGGAGAGTTGTAACAACCCAATTTTTCATTAATTAATTATTTGCATTAATTAATGGGTTAATGAGAATTATTTAATTGATGGGTAATTAATTAAATGGATTAATAGATGTTGGAGAGAATTAGAAGAGAAAGACATATTAAAAAGGAGAGTGGAAAGAAAAGGAAAAGATAGAAACATAAAGGAAAAAATAGAGAAAGAAGGAGAAAGAGGAGAAAAGAGAAGAAGAAGAGGGAAGAACTTGGAATCATCAAGAACAAATCTCAAACTTTAGATTAATCAAGGTAAGGGTGTGAAATATCATTATCTTAACAATGTATATGAATATGTATGATTGGGTTAGAGTATTGGATGTTTTTCTACAACTTCCATTTTAGGGCATAAATGGATTAATCGGTAGATTCTGAGTTTTCACAGTGGAAAATGAGAATAAGTGGTAGTATTTAGTCGGGGGATGTTAGACTAAGGTTACGGAACTTGTTCGGTGAGAATCGGTTGGTTTGGAGAGTTTGGTGGGAGTTGGATAGTGAGAAATTCTGAGTTCGCAGACATTCGCTACCGTGTTCGCTGAGCGAGCTGGTAGCTAACGTTCACTAAGCGAGCTAGTAGCGAATGGTCCCAGACTTGGTCAGAATGCATTTTATGGTGTTCGCTGGTAGCGAAGGTTCGCTAGGCCTTCGCTGAGCGAGCGAGGTAGCGAACGAAGTCAGTAGCTTCTATTTACCTTCGCGAGCTTGTTCGCTGGGCGAACAAGTAGCGAATACTCGCTAGGAGCTCGCTAAGCGAGCAGGGTAGCGAACGTAACAGATTGTGTTTTCTTTAATGTTTCCATCCGAGGTCGGATTTCCGACTCAATTATGATTATTTTCCTTTGCTCGAGGCATCGATTATGTCGAGATGTATTATACTGTGGGTAGCCTTATGGCGTGAATCCTAGATTGTTGCATTAATTGAATTATGGTCTTTTGACAAATGTTATACATTGCTTAATGTGATTAAAAATGTATTGAGAATGCATGAGAACATATTGTGTATATGTGTGCATTGCTTGAAAATATATTGATGATATATGTGAATATGTTGTGTGTGCAATCGTTGTTATAATTCTTGAAGAGATGAATTATTTGAATGCATGAGATTAAGATGTCGGTCTTAAGTGCATTTGATTGTTGATTGCATATGCATCATTTAGTCAAGAGGCAATGTTTGCTAGTTTCGTAGAGACTAGTGACTTGTCCCAAGCCTAGAAGAGTGGGTTTGAAAGCTTAGAGGACAGGCTTTTGGTGGTTATCGGTCTAGAAGAGTGGATCCGGTTTAATGTAAACCGAAAAAAGATAACAAGTGTTGGTACCACATGGCATGAGTTTGCATTGAGTTGTATTGAGTCACATTGCGTGAATGTCATTGTTGTATGAAATATGCTTGTGTGTGGAAATCGTGGGCTATGTATAATTGCGTGTGTGCATGTTGTGATTGTATAATGAACTACAATGAATTGTGGTGAGAAAATGTGGAGTATGTACATTACGTATTGTGTATGCGTATATAATTATATGCATTGATTATTATGATAATATTTCTCACCCTTCTGCTGTTTTATAATGCTCTATGAGGCATTGCAGATTAGGTTGCTGGAGGTTTCTTTTGGCGAAGTATAGTTTCATTCTTTTGAGTCGATTGCTCTGATAATGTAACATCGGGTAGCTAGGCTTGTAGAGTATTCTTTTGTGATACATTGTATATGTATCAGCTGATGATGTTTTGTAAAACATGAATGATATTGTGAACCAAACTTGATGATGTGTATTTCTATGATATCATGTCTTAAGTAATTCAATGTTCTAGTCTTCCGTTTTAATTAAAACATTGATATGTGGGTTTTAAGAGCTATGCTTGGTTTTTAGTTGAGATTTACCCCTTTTGTTACATATCTCTATGAGCAGGTGTTGTTTATGTTTTCGTTTCGTGGATAATGTGATGCGCCTCTTTTATACCATGTCATAAATATACTCTGATGAATTTTTATATATGTGAATAAGTGTTTATTTGCATTATTCTGGGGGTATAGAAGGGGGTGTTACATGCAATCATGTTATAATTCTTGAGTGATGAATTATTTGAATGCATGAGATTAAGATGCGAGAACGGTCTTAAGTGCATTTGGTGGTTGATTGCATATGCATCATTTAATCAAGAGGCAATGCTTACTAGTTTCGTGGAGACTAATGACTTGTCCCAAACCTAGAAGAGTGGGTTTAAAAGCTTAGAGGACGGGCTTTTGGTGGTTATCGGTCTAGAAGAGTGGACCCGATTTAATGTAAAAATTGAAAAATGATAACAAGTGTTGGTACCACATGGCATTGAATTGCATTGAGTCGTGTAGAGTCACATGGCATAAATATCATTGTTGTATGAATTATGCAAGTGTATGGTTTGTTGAATTGTGAATTATGGATGTGTGCATGATGAAATGTGCTTGATTGATTATCCATATTTGTTTACACATGTTATGATGTATTTGAGGATTATAATGAAATATGGTGAGAAAACGTGGAATATTGTATTCATTATTCATGTGTGTGTGTGTGTGTGTGTGTGTGTGTGTGTGTATATATATATATATATATATATATATATATATATATATATATATATATATATATATATATATATATATATATATATATATATATATATATATATATGCATTGATTATTATGGTAATATTTCTCACCCTTCTGTTGTTTTATAATGCTCTATGAGGCATTGCAGATTAGGTTGCTGGAGATTCTTTTTGTGAAGTATAGCTTCATTCTTTTGGTCTGGTCGCTCTGATATGTAGCACTGGGTAGTTAGGCTGTATAGCATTCTTTTGTGATACATTGTGAATGTATCAACTGATGATATTTTTGTATAATATGAATGATATTGTGAACCAAACTCTATGACATGTATTTATATGATAACATGTTTTAAGTGATTCAATGTTTTACCCTTCCGCTTTAATTTAAATATTGAGATGTGGGTGTAAGGACGAAGTTCCTTTATTTAAAAACTACCCTACTGTTGCATATCTCTATTTGGGCAGGTGTTGTATGTTTTAAATGGTGAATTTGTGTGACATGTTCCTTTTATACTATGATTTAATATTACTCTGATGAAAATTTTGATATGTGCCTAAATGTTTCATATGCTTATTTGGGGTATAGAAAGGGGTGTTACAGTATCAGTATGCTGTTGGAGCCATTCAACATTAGCAAGCACATGATCAATGCGAGAATAGATTGTACCTGCAGTGTGATTATTTGACCATGTATAGTAGCTTCCCTTACTTTCCTTCTCAAATAAGCCAACATTTTCCATCATACTGCATATGTCGATATATTCCGTTTCCATCACATCATTTCCAACAATCCTGTCATTGCTATGGATAACATTGTTGAAGTCACCCATCAAAACCCAAGGGCCTTGCTGCTGTGCGTGAATGGCAGCATATCTTTCCATAATATGCGACGTTGCTCGAGACAATTCAAGGCATAAACAACAGTAAACCAAAATAAAAAATTCCCAGCCATATCATGAACACTACAGTGGATGAATTGACTAGAAGAAATAACAATTTTTACATCAACTTCATTTGAATCCCAATACAACCATACCTTGCCATTAGCATGATGTTGGTAGTTGTCTGCATAGCTGCCCTGCAACATGAGTTTATTTCGGACAGCAGCCACATTTTTCACTTTGACACGAGTTTCTAGTAACGCAAAATTTTTTGGACGAAGTTCTAGGAGACGGGAGCGAATCTTCCTAAGCTTGCCCGCGTTGTTTAGCCCCCGTACATTCCACGCTGCTAGCATGGATCACCGTCGACCAACATTTTTGAGACATTCATATCCCCCAGCAGACCAAATCCATTGGTACAATTTAATAGAACTTTATCCTTTGGGGTGCTCTTGTGTTTATCCCTTCCACTTTTAGTACTTGTAGTCCAGTTCTCAAGATTAGCATTCTTCTGTATATGTAGATTTGTGCCTTCAGTTGTTGGTGTACTACTAGGTTCAGCAGCAGCCATAGCTGGTGTCATCCGTTCTACATCATCAATTCGTACATGTTCAGCCTTCTGTTTCTGTTTTGGTTGCCATACTTTGACAGGTTTTGGAGCCTCACATATGTGACCAAACCGTTGACATTGCTCACAGAATTTTGGTTTCCACTCGTATTCAATAGGTTGAACCAATTTAGCACCATTTCTATCATTAATAATAGAAATCACTTGATCCATATCCATATGCGATTGAAATTTGAGGATGAAGTATCCTTCCTCGTGGTAGTGTATATCAGGAAGTTTGATGAAATTCCACATTCTTTCCATAAAATTCTTCACTGTATTCATACTGAGATCCCCTCCCAGCACATACATGATCAAGGAATTTTCCCAAAATTTCAGTTCTGTTGCAACATCCTCGTCTTCAATAGTAATTTGAATCTCCCCAGCAACAATTGAAGGGGGAACATATTTCATCGCCACACCTTTGGATGGATTGCGATTGTCGTTCAAAACATCAACCCAAAGCTTGCGTTGTTCCTTCGGTTATTGCGCATCTGTTGGTTCCATTGATTCTAGGGTTTTAGCTTGATCACCTGTTACAGCTTGTTCTTTTGTACCCATAAGTGCTTCCACGTGCTGTGAATGTTGCTTCGCATGTGGTTCATTGGTGTCCTGGCTTTGTTCTGGCTGAGTCGTCTGAGGAATGGTGAGCTTCGGTGGCGGTGACACCGTTTTCTTTGGCTGTCCCCGTCCCCGTGAGCTTCCCATCCGATAATTAGAATTATAATAATTTTATTAAAATTTTAAAATAGATTAATTAATATTTGTTTAAATTAAAGTTTTGGTCCCTTTATTTGACCTAATTTATGAAATTGGTTCTCTTATTTTAAATTTAAACAGTTATGGTCTCTCTATTTTGAATTTAAATAATTTTGGTCCTCTCATACTTTTACACTCAAAATTAATGATGTTTTCATTTTATAAAATATAAATTACTCGTGAAACATGACAAATTATCGTATATAAACATATTATTGAACTTTAGAGATAAAAATATAAATTAAAAAACGAATATCTCATTGATTTTTCATGTAAAAAACATGAGAAAACTAAAACTGTTTAAATTCAAAATAGGGGACCATAACTGTTTAAGTTTAAAGTAGAAGAATCAACTTCGTGAATTAGATAAAATAGTTGGACAAAAACTGTAATTTAGCCTTAATATTTTTAATAATAAATAAATAAATAGAATTTATTAAATTTGTTGTAAAAAAAATTAAATATTAATATTGTATACATTTATACAATAATGAATATTTAATATAGTAATTATACGCAATAATTATAATAATTAAAATGAGTTCATGTGTCAATTGGAAGAAAATTGAAACATTAATTATTATTTTTTTATAATTTCTTTTAATAAAAAGATAGTTGATATTTAGAAAAAATAAAAATAGAAAAAGAAAATAAAGTGTTGAAAAATTAAAAATGAATGTGAAAGAAATATGAGGGAAAAAAATGTGAAAGATTTAAAATTTAAATTTAAAAATAGAATAAAGATTAAAAAAAAAGAAAATTTAAAAATAAATAATTGAAATAATTCATGTGTCATTTTGTAACGGAGCATATTGGAAAAATCGAGACATTATCGTGACATTAACCAAACAAATTGCATGTGAAAATTTTGTAGATTAATGCAATACAGCTGTAATGCTATTTAGAAATTTTTCTTTTGAAAATTTTCATTCCTCGATTCTTTGAAAGTATATGTACATGCTATACCACAAAAGTATAATTTCTTTTATAAAAAAAGAAGACGATAATATGAAAATTTTGGACCACGGCTTTTCATTATTGTTGGAAATAATAATTTATTTCCATTAAAGTTGTTCCAAAATGACAAAGTGGGTGTTATAATAAATGCTTAGTCCCACATTGGAAGAGGAGTAAAATTAAATAGCATTTATAAGGCACTTGGAACAATGTAATTTCCAAAAGAGCCAAAAAGGATAAAGTGCCACATAGTCACATGTGGTGGTGCCAAAACTTATGTCACTTGTCTCATACAAAACACCCCTCGCCGGTGTCGCCACCGGCGACACCGGCTCCGGCTCCGGCTCCGGAACCGGAACCGGGGGCGTGGGCGTAGAGGCGCTAGTGGCGGCTTGTAGACGGCACTTGAGCACTTAGGCACGACGCATCGCCGGTGGCGCACTTATTCGCGCGCTCCGGCCTTCGGCCGGTATACTGCGAATTTAATTTTTAATTATCGCTCAGACTTATTCGCTGCCTAGAGTTTGATTTTGAATTTGAATTTGAAATACATGACACTTGACGAAGTGGTGCATGATATTTTATGTGAACCATTGCAAATGCTCATTAGAGAGTGTGTTTATGAAGAATTGCAACCTTCTGAAAAGACACATGCATGGCTATAAATATATGCTTCATAATTCGAAATCATTCACTCCAAATTCTGAAATCCTCTTCCATATAATTCCAACATTTTCCTTGCATTCGAAACTTCATCAGTCTTGTGCAGTTTCGAGAAAAAGGCTGACTTATCCTGGGTATTCAGGCCGTTCCAACTCTAAGACAATCTGAGAGTGTGCTTGAAATACTTTTAAGGAAAGTGATTTCGTTCACGATTCAGTCTGGATCCATTCGACATAGAAGAATTATCTAACAATCTTAAAAGTATTTCTATCATGGATTCCGACGCTGCTGTTTCAAGTATCAAAGTTATGAATCAGGACCTTGTCAAATTGGATCGTTTCGATGGAAACAACTTTACCAGATGGCAAGACAAGATGACGTTCCTGCTTACTGCACTCAAGGTTCACTACGTCTTGGATCCCAATCTGACACCAATTCCAGAACCAACTGCAGATGATTCTGACGAACTCAAGAAGAAGCGCATGCTGCGAAGGGAGGACGAATTACTATGCCGTGGGCATATTCTGAATACGCTATCTGACCGCCTATACGACTTATACACAGACAATCCGTCCGCTAGAGACATATGGAATTCCCTGGAGTTTAAATTCAAAGCCGAAGAAGAAGGTACGAAAAAGTTCTTAATTTCTAAATACTTTGATTTTAAATTTATAGATTCCAAGCCCATACTTCCTCAAGTGCATGAATTGCAAGTCCTGGTGAACAAAATCAAAGCGGTGAAAATAGACATTCCTGAAACCTTTCAAGTTGGTGCAATCATTGCGAAATTACCAAGTTCGTGGAAAGGCTATAAAAAGAAACTGTTGCACAGTTCTGATGACTTTTCCTTGGAGAAAATCCAGAAGCATCTTCGAATCGAGGAGGAATCGAAGGAGAGGGAAAAATCAGAATCTGCGGGTCTTTCCAAAGCCAATGCTGTGACCAGAAAGGAAAAGAAAAAACATGATGTCAAGAAAAGTCACATCGCACCAAAAAAGGAACATACCAAGTTCAAGAACTTCGGTGGTCCGAAGGGTCCGAAAAATGGATGCTTTGTATGTGGAAAACCTGGACATTATGCTCGAGATTGCAGGCATAATAAATCAAAAAAGGAGATCAATGCAGTGAATGCTAATGATGATATAATCGCTACTGTGAGCGAAATTATGGCAATCAAAGGCAAGGTCCAAGGCTGGTGGTATGATACATGTGCCACGGTTCATGTCTCATATGACAGGGCTGCATTCAAAACATATTCTGAGGCAAATGATGGACAAGAAGTACAAATGGGAAATGAAGTGCGATCCAAAGTTGTTGGAACCGGAACGGTCGAACTCAACTTCACTTCTGGAAAGAAAGTTACTCTTGTTAATGTGCTTCATGTCCCAGACATGAATAGGAATCTTGTTAGTGGGGATTTATTGGGAAAACCGGGTATTAAATCTGTGTATGAATCGGGCAAACTTATCTTGACCCGTAATGGTGTGTTTGTTGGAAAAGGATATTCCGCTGAAGGAATGATCAAACTATGTATTACTGATAACATGATTAATGAAATTTCTAATTCTGCTTACATGCTTGATTCAGTTACTTTATGGCACAATAGATTAGCACATATTGGTATTAGTTCAATGAAGAGACTAATTAAACTTGGCTTGATATCATGTAATATCAAAGATTTCAATAAATGTGAATTATGTGTTAAATCAAAAATGATTAAGAAACCTTTCAAAAGTGTTGAAAGAAATACAAATCTGCTTGATCTTGTACATTCAGATTTGTGCGAATTTAATGGCATGTTGACCCGTGGGGGAAATAGATATTTCATTACATTTATTGATGATTGCTCTAGATACACTTATGTATATATCTTAAAGCATAAAGATGAGGCTTTTAATGCCTTTAAGAGTTACAAAGCAGAAGTGGAAAATCAATTAAGTAGAAGTATAAAAGTCCTTAGGAGTGATAGGGGCGGTGAATACTTCTCCACTGAATTTGATGCATTTTGTGAAGAACATGGTATAATACATGAATGTTCGGCACCTAGAACACCACAACAAAATGGCATAGCAGAAAGAAAGAATCGAACATATCAAGAAATGATGAATGCCATGTTATTGCATTCCGAACTACCTTTCAATTTGTGGGGCGAAGCTTTATTATCCGCTTGTCACATAATAAATAGAATTCCCTTAAAGAAAAGTGGAATTTCTCCATATGAGGTATGGAAGGGCATGACACCAAATATTGGCTACTTTAAGGTGTGGGGGTGTGTGGCATATTACAAAAACATGGATCCTAAGAGAACCAAGTTGGGTCCTCGAGGGATAAGATGTGCATTTGTAGGATATGCACAAAATAGCAAAGCATATAGACTGTTAAATTTAGAGTCTAATATTATTGTTGAATCCCGGGATGTAGAATTCTTTGAAAACCTTATAACTAAGGATAAAGAATCAGAGTCGGCCATAAACAAAGAATCTTGTGAAAAGGACTCTTCTCGGATTGTAGAAATACAACCTGAAGACACATCTCGAATAAATGAACCACGACCCGAACCTAGGATAAGCAAAAGAGTCCGGAAAATAAAGAACCTAGGACCAGACGAAATTGATTCTCAATCCATTTCATTTTATCTGGTTGAAGGAAATAATACAAATTTTATTAAAAGCATTCCGGTAATTCTTCAAGTAGGGGAAGATCCTAAAACTTATAAGGAAGCAATAGCTTCAAGAGACTCCTCTTTTTGGAAAGATGCTATCCGAGATGAAATGGATTCAATTATGTCCAACCACACTTGGGAACTTGTTGATTTACCAAAGGGATCAAGACCCATTGGATGCAAGTGGGTGTTTAAAAAGAAATATCATAGTGATGGTACATTAAACACTTATAAAGCAAGATTAGTGGCAAAAGGATTTAGACAAAAGGAAGGTATAGATTATTTTGACACTTATGCACCTGTAGCGAGAACAACCACTATAAGGTTGTTGTTTGCTTTAGCATCTTTAAATGATCTGATTGTTCATCAAATGGATGTTAAAACAGCATTCCTAAACGGAGACCTCGATGAGGAAATCTACATGGAACAACCAGAAGGACACGTCCTTCCTGGAAATGAACAGAAGGTGTGCAAACTTGTCAAATCTCTATATGGCTTAAAACAAGCACCAAAACAATGGCATCAAAAGTTTGACTCTACGATAATGTCAAATGGATTTATTCCTAATTCTTGTGACAAGTGTTTATATACAAAAGTGTATAATAACACTGTAATATTTTTGTGTCTTTATGTTGATGACATGCTAATAATTAGCAATAGACTTAAT